ACCTATTAACAATGATACCAACGCCTAGTGGAAGTACACAAGGTTTGAAGCTTGTACTGATTATGAAAGGTAGTAATGATACTAATGAAAAAAAAAGTTTGTTCTAAGATTTGGAATGGGTCTCAAGGCTCTGCTTGGATTTTCCTATTAGTTTTTTTCAACCATGTGACACACATAACAGGATTTACAAAGTTCAGCCTCATCATGTCACACTGTTGGTCCCGATGTGGACACATGGTAGATAGAACGAGTTCTCAGCAGCCCATTATTGTTCACAAAGTTGATTAAACGGCAGAAAAGAACAAGAAGACTATCACTCTATGAAGATCTCTTTGAGGAGTAAGGCGCTTTGGGAGATGACAGACAACAACAATTGTTTGATGTCATTGACTTGAGGTTGGACCTGAGTCTCACGCTATTCCCAACTTTATAACAATTGATTACAGGAATGCAAGTTTTATTATCACAAGGATCATGCTAAGACGGTCATTTTGATAAGGTTTGTATTTGCTTTCACTGAAGACCTATCCACTGAGACCTATCACGTGGTATTCAGAAAGTGAGGCCAAAGGTAGTTAGAGCAAATGAAAACCTAACAGTTGATGACGTTAGCTCAATATTTTTAGAACGTCTTTGTAGTACCTAAAGATTGTATTTAGAATATTAGTTGTATTGGTACAACCTATTCCATGTATCACTATTCTAAATAGTTCTATGGATTTATCAAATTAACGCCATTGTCGAATCCTTTTTCAAAATTATATTCTGGATTATTCTAGAAGTTAAGGGAATGTGAATCTGTTGACTTCAAACAAATTAAAAAGAAATATAACAAAAGCCACAAGAAAACCTTTAAATTTCCAGTTCCTATTATTTTTATTTTGGGGGTTAAGAAAACACAATTTTAAATGTTTGAATTGCACGAAACATGCAACACAACATTTTTGGTATTTCAGAATGTTTACATCATGATGAAATATGCAGCCATCTGCTCAGATCATGTCCACCTTTTGTTCAACTCTGCGTGGGTTCATACCCTTATTATCAAGGCAGTATTTTGTCAGTAACATTACTTCGCATACCATTTGAAAATGTTAACGGATCCCTTTTTGTGGATGATATTAACATTTCTTGTCATGGCCAAAATATGAATACGATAGAAACTGCAGTCTTTCGATAACAGATTTAAATTTTCAAAATCTGAAACAATTCGTATTCATTTGTCCATGGTTTTACATGTACTATTCTTGCTACCTTTAAATGTTTGACATATCTGTCTAGTAATGGCCAGTTGGCGGAGGGATGTTTGGGTACAATGCAGAGGTACTGTAAATCTCCATGGTCCTTTGTGTGTCTCCTTTGTTAAATTTGAATGTTGCTGTTCTGTGTCTCATTTTTATACGGGGTTGTTTCATGAAGAGTTAGATTAAAATGTGCACATGCTAGATTTAAAACTATGCCCGTTATACACTATAGTACTGTCGGAAATAGAAAAAAAACCTGTTTTAAGGCTGTTACTCTGCATCCCGAAAATTGACACAATTGCAAATAGCATATGTCGAAATAACCCACTGCGGCCTAACCGGGCGTTCAGTGGGATGCGTAATAAGATATCCGGAAAAGCATTTTTACTCGTAAAATCGGGCAAAACTTAGAAAAAATACGAATAGCTGCAGAAAACAATAGATCAGACTATAGATGGCAATTAGGTCGCTCAGGCAGGTATGACGACGGACCGTCAACTCACCTGGCATGAAATGCACGTGCTGCCTGCAGGCACAAGGGGTCATCTCAAAGATAGTTTGTTCTTTTTCATTTGTGTTGACTATGTCTCATCTACTGATTAACATCTTACGTGTCTTTCTTTCATAAAGTTTATGTTGAGATATGTAAGAGTATGATATCCGAAAACCATAGAAACGCATCGTGGTATATAGGTGGCATGACCACCCGAAGATCGATAGGACTGGGTATTATTTTTAAATTGTTATGACGTGCCGTGTACCTCCCCAGTATAATTGCCCTAATCTTATCTTAGCTGATATCTCTATCCCCAAACCCGACCCCAGGTTTTGCTTTTGAGGCGACCCCTCTTATCTGTTTCTTTTTATAGTGACAGTGAGACTGCATGGTAGCTACATCCTTGATAGTTTCGGCTTAAAAGTTATTATTTTTTACGTCAGCTATCGTTTATAATAAATCTACGTCTAATTTCAAATTGGGCATTTAAAAAGTGTCCTTTGTAATACAATATCGTTGCACACTAATTTGCATAAAGCCATGGTCTGTTCCAAATAAGTCTTTTTGGACTTAACGCATTGCTCATTTCTGCACTACTTTCCCCCCAGTAAAGTCCTTTTACTCCGTTTCCTATCTCTCTACCACTGAGACTGTAGTTAGACCGAACTTAGTTTAACAGATATTTCACACTTTCAAATATCAACTACATGAATTGTAGAGATAATTGAGAAAATACAGTTTTTTTTCTATTTCCAACAGTACTATAGTTCAGTTTCTGTCCTTTGTCGACAAGATTTACGATATAAATGTATCATTGATGTATTACCTGTTTGGGTCATGATATATATAGCTGCACATTTTTCCGCACTAGGTCATCTCAGCAGTAATCCCCATTTTGACATTATTACATTTATAACACTGTATTAGTTTGCTTCTGATGCCATTGGGTATGACATATAGCAGCAACAGTAAAAGGTTCAGTGTTTCAAAACAAAGAACAGTCAATAATTGCATGGAACTCATTAATTCACCGGCACTCAAAGTCTTGCTAACAAACAACAAATTTCTCATCTTGTACAAAATTAGCTGGAATCCACGGGAGGATAAAAACATACCCTGGTCCAAAACGACAGATGTGCCACTTCACATTCATGTCTGACATTCCCTAGAGATAAACAATCAGGGCGACATTCCATTCTCCATGTCGCTGATAAATCTACACACTCACTCCCATTAAAAAGTCAACAGCAGCTGACACAATTTGTTGGTCACATACCAAAACATATGGCGACAATCCAAATCAACATTGCTGGTAGTTTGTAGTGGTGCAAACTGTCGCCAGAAATCAGAGAATTGCATTAACTAACCAGCTACTGTCTCAAATCATTCCTGTCAACGTGAACATCAGTTCATCAATGTAATATACCCACGTAAGCGAAACAGGAAGAAACACTACAGCATGACATTGTTCAAGTTTCTCTCGACATTTCTTATCTATCCACAAGTATAAATGGCTAAGAACCACATTGGCATCACTGGTCAAGGACACTTAGATAAAGACATGTTCCATATAGATATGCTCAATTGTTTAAATATTTCACCAGTGTGATTGAATTTGTCAATCGTGCACTGCATCATGAGGGTGAAGACAGCCGTGTTACAGCTGATACTGATAGCATTAGTGGGTGCAAAGAAAAATGTTTTGTTTCTGGTGTCAGATGATATGAGACCAAACCTCAATGCCTATCTGGGTCCAGACATGCCGTCTCCTGTCCATCCCAAGATGCATACACCTACTCTCGATGCCTTAGCCAGCAGATCCCTTGTTCTGAAGAGAGCCTACGTGTCTCAGGCTTTATGCAGCCCCAGTAGAACTGCCCTTCTTACCAGCAGGCGGCCTGACACTAGTCACATATGGGACATTGGACCTTACTTCCGACAAGTTGGCGGCAATTTTACTACACTGCCAGAATACTTCAAGCGTAATGGCTACCGAACTATTGGAATGGGGAAGATCTTTCATCCTGGAAGTTCCTCAGGAGGAGATGATCCCATATCGTGGACGGATCCATATTTTCACGCAGATGACAAATATGGAGGGAATGACAACCTTCTATGTGAGGCAGTATCAGAGGAAAGAGAGAAGGCCCAACCACTTCAGGATCAGATTATTGCAGATAATGCAATTAAAACACTTCAGGAAGTCGCACCTAGAGCAAAGTCAGGTAAGCAACCTTTCTTTGTGGCAGTAGGATTCCATAAACCTCATATACCATGGAACTATCCTGCTCGTTTCAATACTTTCTATCCCTTGGAGAATCTTCGCCCACCACCAAACTATTATGCTCCAGTTGGAATGCCCCATTTTGCCTGGCATAATTTTACTAACTTTGGCAACTTTAGAGATATTGAAGCATTTCACTTAAAGGATATTGGCTATATAAACTTCACATTTCCACCAACACTGACCCTTCAACTGAGACAGGCCTACTACAGCTGCATTAGCTATACTGACTACGAGCTGGGGAGATTTATTTAAGAGCTTGACAACTTAGGACTTTCTAACAATACCATCATATCCTTCTGGGGTGATCATGGGTGGCAGTTGGGAGAACATTCAGAATGGGAGAAGCACAACAACTTTGAAGACGCCACCCATGCTCCCATGATGATACACATTCCTGGAGTCACTGACAAAGGTGTGGTGACAGAGCACCTGACGGAATTTGTCGATTTGTACCCGACTCTAGTTGATGCTGCAGAACTTCCTAAACTTGAAACGTGTCCACCGAACTCTCAAAACATCAGTCTGTGCACAGAAGGTACTAGTATGGTCCCACTCATGACAAATCCAACAATGCCAAACTGGAAATCTGCTGCTTTCTCCCAGTACCCTCGAGGGGGAGACGGTCTCCATGGTGATGTCACCATGGGTTACACCATGAGGACAGACATGTATCGCTACACAGAGTGGATCAACTTCAAAGGCAGGCCTATCTATACACCGATGTGGGATGAGCTAAAAGGAGTTGAACTTTATGATCACATGAAAGATCCAGAAGAGAACTGGAACCGAGCCGATGACCCATCCTACAAAGACATCAGGACCGAGTTGTCCAGGAAACTGAAGATTGGCTGGAGGGGAGCAGTGCCTGACAAACGCGTCTGAAACCGCTTGTATCTTTGCTTTCCTGTGATGTTTGTGATAAAGATGGTCATTATCACTGATTTTCGTAACGAATTATTCGATCGAAAACGTCTTTGCCCTTGCTCATCATGTGTTAACTTATCTGTCGTCTTTTAAGACTCGATAATTAGATAGTTGCAATCATATGTATGTGTTGCATCATAAACCTAACAAATAAAGAAACACTTGATATTGACTGTTCCAAATTTAATATCTCCACATCTTAAGGTAGTACCTTTACGTATTACCATATTCTATGCATATACATTCTGGGTAAAAGTGGGTGTCCTTTTTGGTAATGTATCGTTCGATCGCAAACATGGTTCGCCTTGCTCATAATATTAGTAACTCATCTCTCTTCTTAAGAATCAATAATGTTTTGTCGTCCCTCACATTGCTCTGTAGCATTTTAAACTAATAAAAAATTGATGTTGATTGTTTCCAATCTCCAAAGCTAAAGGCAGTACCCTACAAACGATATACCATACTCTATGCATTTACAAGGTAAATCAGATTGGCTAGTAGTAACAGTCATTAAAATAAGTGCATACTCTAATGTTGTTATGATTGATGAAGAGGTATATGTACCAACTCCACTCCGATGTTTCAAATGTCAAGTTGTCAAAATAATTATTGTACTGAGATGCCTGTCGTACCATTGCATCCATACATTCGCTGACTTCAACGGCATATCAAACATCACTATCAGACCATCATACTCAGATCTCTCAATCTCCATCAAATACATCTCCATCAGCTTCCCAGACAGAGCGTGCAATATCAATACCTTAAATAAATACGTCATCTAAACCAGAATCTGTGACAGAATCAACACAAGGTAAATCTATAATATCAAAACAAATGGGGGGAGCAAAAGAGCAGTCGAATAGAAAGACCATAGTCTTATAGCATTATCTGAATAAATGTAAAAAAAATTAAATGCTGAAGCAGGGCGTACAGTTAATCAAAATACGCGCCGGTCTTAGCAAAATTATGTTTAAAAAATTGATTCACGGACGCCGATGTCCACGGTATGGAATATGATCCAGACAATTAAAGGTAAGGGAACCAAATCAAGCAAAACACATCACCTCAAAACCGGGATCAATTGTCAACAGATAAATCTGACATCGCAAATAAACAGGCTGAAACACTTGCAAACCATTCTTCCTCGTCAAACTATGTTAAATCTAAATCAAAAACAGCAGAAAAAGAAACAAATTACCTTTCATTGTGATAATAAGAAGATTATAACACAACGTTTTATCCATAATTTTTCATCTTGAACAAGTGATGATACTGCGATAGCATACAGTATCTACTCCGAAACACTTACATCAATCCTGTTTGAGACATGCCATATCTTTATTATGGGCATCTCTTGAATTTCCTTCAAGCGTTATCATGATGTACCCATACCCAAAACCTGACGATAGATCCCATACAGGCCCATTTCTTGACAAGCCGCGTTTTCAAAACCATGGAACGTATAGTCAATAACAGATTAATACCTAGAATGCGCTTAATGTAACACAAATACTCAAGTAAACACTCTGGTAACATTGACCATTTAGGAGTCATTTGTTAAAAATGGCATTATAAACAAACAGCATGCTGGTCCATGTTTTCAATTTGCCATATGATACGACATAGAAGCACGGTATCTTAAAAGATTTACATGCGTTTAGTTTCCGTTTATATCTCAGATTTTAACTGACAGGCAATTTCATGTCAATGTCTGACCATTATAATCAGGATCAGGGTGTGCCCAAGGCAGTATTTTCTCTATCACATTATTTAGTATACAAATTAATGGTTATCAAAAGTTATCTTAAAGGATTCCATAGATGGATCACTGCTTTCGAATGATTTTAATATTCCTTTCGTGGCAAACCATAAATACTAGTGAAAGGCTGCTGTATAATTATGTTTACATAAAATCGAGAAATGTTGTTCAGGAAATGGATTTAAATTTTCAAATTCAAGAACTACAAAATGTAATTGCATCCATTTTTGTCGAAAATGTAAATAGCAGCGACACAACCATTTCCACATTCGTTAGAAATCTCTGCTAAAAGCAGAGTCGACTGCACAAGTGTGACCATATAATTAGCATATATTTGTTTCAGCAGCATTACAACAGTGTGATGTTGTTTTAAAAGCAAATCGAGTCTGGACCAGACAATCAAACCACACAAAGACCCAGAATTGTTTTTGTTACATTACGTTATTAACGTTATAATGGAAGCTATGTTCCTGGGTATTATTTTCAATCACCATTTTTCATTTCGTCCTCTTATAATATATCTGAAAAATAATTCTGATTACACCGTCCAGTGAGCAACTAGTCAGATGGATACTAAGCGCAATATAAATGAATTATTAATTATTTAAAAAATAAATATTTAAAAGCAAATCGAGTCTGGGCCAGACAATCAAACCGTACAAAGTCCCAGAATTGTTTTTGTTAGATTACGCTATTAACATTGTAATGGAAGTTCGTGGGTATTATTTTCGATCTCCATTTAACTTTTCGTCCTCTTGTAAAATATTTGAAAAATAAATACCTGAAGGCACTTGATATATTTAATGTTGTTTCTAACTCAAAGTGGGGAAGGGATAAGAAGAAACTCCCCCAACTATATAGAGTGTTGATCCGTTATAAACCTGATTACGGCTCCATGATTCATGGTGTAAAGGCGATTTTAAAATACTAGATTCTATTCACCACCAAGGCTCTGGCTCTGGCTTTGCCTTGGAGCCTTCGGAACTTCACCGAATCAGAGTTTATATTTGGAGGCTGATGTACTGCCCCTCAACTATGCCGCCTTAAATTATCTTCACAGCATACTTCTAAATTACGCTCTATTAAATCAAATTCTGCATATAGTTGTGTTTTTCACGCTCTGTATAACGAACTTCATAAAACAAAGCATCACTTATCCAACTTGGAATACAATCCGCTATTTCTGCAGCTAACATACATTTATTTTCCAAGAATGCCGGTACAGATGCTATTGCCGGTACAGTTGCTAGTGTCGGTACAGTTGCTAGTGCCGGTATAGTTGCCAGTGCCGGTACAGCTGCTAGTGCCGGTACAGTTCTTAGTGCCGGTACATTTGCCAGTGCCAGTACAGTTGCTAGTGTCGGTACAGTTGCTAGTGCCGGTACAGTTGCCAGTGCCGGTACAGTTGCTAGTGGCGGTACAGTTGCCAGTGCCGGTACAGTTGCTAGTGGCGGTACAGTTGCTATTGCCGGTACAGCTGCTAGTGGCGGTACAGTTGCTATTCCTGGTACAGCTGCTAGTGTCGGTACAGCTGCTAGTGGCTGTAAGGTTGCTATTGCTGGTACAGCTGCTACTGCCGGTACAGTTGTTATTCCTGGTACAGCTGCTAGTGGCTGTAAGGTTGCTATTGCTGGTACAGTTGCTAGTGCCGGTACAGTTGCTAGTGCCGGTAAAGTTGCTATTGCTGGTACAGTTGCTAGTGCCGGTACAGTTGCCAGTGCTGGTACAGTTGCTAGTGCTGGTACAGTTGCCAGTACCGGTACAGTTGCTATTGCTGGTACAGTTGCTAGTGGCGGTACAGTTGCTAGTGCCGGTAAAGTTGCTATTGCTGGTACAGCTGCTAGTGCCGGTACAGTTGCTAGTGTCGGTACAGTTGCTAGTGCCGGTACAGTTGCTAGTGCCGGTACAGTTGTTAGTGTCGGTACAGTTGCTAGTGCCGGTAACGTTGCTATTGCTGGTACAGCTGCTAGTGCCGGTACAGTTGCTAGTGGCGGTACAGTTGCTATTGCTGGTACAGCTGCTAGTGGCGGTACAGCTGCCAGTACCGGTACAGTTGCTATTGCTGATACAGCTGCTAGTGGCGGTACAGTTGCTATTGCTGGTACAGCTGCTAGTGGCTGTACAGTTGCTATTGCTGGTACAGCTGCTAGTGGCTGTACAGTTGCTATTGCTGGTACAGCTGCTAGTGCCGGTACAGTTGCTATTGCTGGTACAGCTGCTAGTGCCGGTACAGTTGCTATTGCTGGTACAGCTGCTAGTGGCGGTACAGCTGCTAGTGGCGGTACAGTTGCTAGTGCCGGTACAGCTGGTTGTGCGGTACAGCTGCTAGTGGCGGTACAGTTGCTATTGCTGGTACAGCTGCTAGTGCCGGTACAGCTGCTAGTGCCGTTATAGTTGCTAGTGCCACTGTCATTGGATCCAGAACGCTGTCTTCCAGATTACCTATCGACGGCTCATTAATGCCACATTATCAGCTCTAGCATATATCAATAACCAGTCTTAAGATACACAATTCAGGCTCTTTTTCGTGCCTTCAGGCTATTAAAACATGTCTTATTAGCATCTACTTTAATTGTAATTCTTGAATTATATAATGATCTTGCTACTGGCACCATCGTCTTTTGTTGTTTACCCAGTCATGCTGCAATCTCTGGTAACACAAGGCCTGACTTTGCTGCTAGGGCAGCACTCAACAAATCTGTGACGCCGTTTCGTTTCTGCTGCCGTACAGTGACTATAAACCTATAATTAGATCTTACATTCGCGATCTAATGCAAAGGAAGTGGGACACCCAAGTAGGTATAGATAGTAATAACCAACCATCGGTTACACCTACTACGGCAGTCAGTCCAGTTTTGAAGAGATAATCATACGACCATGTCGTATACACTAGTTATACACATGAATACTTATTCAAAGGTGTAAGTCCTTGTGACGAACGAATCACAGTCAAGCATGTCCTGCTTGAATGTATTGACTTTTCCATCACAGGGGATAAATATTTCAATGTCAAAACAGTGAAGGATCTTTTAAATTGTAAATATAATTGTGTTACTGGATTTTTAAATTAAATAGAATTGTTAAACAAATTTTGAAAAAATAGATAAATATGATTTATTGGTAGTCTAAATGAGCAGCTGAGATTGAGATTGGCTGTAGCGTTAAATAAATTAAGCTTACAGAATGTCTTAGTATCTTTGTGATTTTGAACTGTGACTATAGTTAACTACAGCTGAAGGGATGGTGTAAATCCAGCTAGGGTCCATGCAGGTAGCAAAACTACTATAAGTCCCCATGGTCCCTTGTATGGTGATCTACCTTCAGTTGCTAGCGATCTATACCCCGTGTTTATATTGTATAGTCCTGAATTAAAGTATAATGTTTAAATTTGCTAGTTGTACATCTCTATCTCTATCTACGATACCCAAGTTGTTTTACTGCCCTTTGTAGAATAACTTTATTTATCATTAATGAATATCTTTTTTAATCACGGTGTGGCTGAACTATTGCCGACGTGACTCTAAATTTTAACTCACTCACTCACTATGAACTAGCTTTCTACGAATGTCAATACATACACAACACATCATATTGGATTCAAGAACAGATACAGCATGAGGATATGTGAACAGGTTCTGAGGGTTATTTGGCGTCATCATATTCAGATTGTGGGGCATATTGCTCACGACTTGACTCACTAGATTGGGTGCTACTGACTATATACTGTTGCTTTGTCGTTGCTGACTGCAACACTGGGCCTCCTTTCACAAAGCACTAAGGTGATCGTAAGTCGCTAAGGTAACCTTGGTGCAATGCTATTTCAAAGAGAAACAATAAAATTGAAACATTCAATCTTAAATGGAATTCGTTCATCCCAATACTCAGCAACTAATTATTATTACATCTCTACAGGAATGTATCTTCGCCTTTTCTGTGCTTGTTGCTACCATATACCCTTGTTATTGACTTTGTAACCATGGGAACAAATAAAATAAATAAAAAAATAAAAAATAAATAAACCCTGGTGCAATGTTAAAGAATGGAAGTTAAGGTTAACCTGAGTAAAGGTTGCTTCGTGAAAGGAGTCCCTGAACGGCATCTTATTACTCACGTCACGGTATGGATTTATTCAGAGAAATCATTACCAAAAGATACATCGGATCACACAAAACATGATCAACGAAAACAAATTACAAAATTACAAATTACGTTGCGTCTTGTGAGATCGAAGTCTACCTGGCTACATTAAAATAGGACAGAGTGAGTGAGGGAATGAATGGGTCGGAAGATGTATGAATCAGTATGGTTAAAGATGGTTTTAACTGTGTCACATTTTTGTCAGGTTGTTTCAGCTCAGTGTGGTACAGGTGTCTAGATTTAAGCATTTTACTGAGACCGACGAAGACGGGTATGGAGATGAGTGACCTGGAAACATAACCAGGGAGATATGACCACCATGGTAGGTATATTGGCGTGCCCAGGGGACGCACCTTTCCACATCCAATTTAGGCATATCACATTCAATGTCTATCTTTTATCATTAAACAGCCAATAAACAATTAATTTGTAAAGATCCTTTACAACCTTCACAGCTGTGTAGGCCAGCACCCATTGCCTCAAAGACAACTTAAGCCGGTGTATGATGTCAACCATCACTGCTCTCCACTCTTCATGCAGAGCCGGTTGAAGCTGTAAGTTCTATGATTCTTGTGGTCTGAATCGCCTGTCAATATGACCCCATAGGTGTTCCTTAGAAGGCTAGTCGAGGAAAAAGGCACTCTCATTACTCGAGCAAATTTGCCAATGATGCCCATGGTTGTGGATTAGGGAGATATTACTGTTTGGATGACTTCCACAGAATGCTATGTAAGCGTTGATTCATATGCAATGTAAGAGTCTCATCACTGTGATCCTGTTCATGAAATGACTTAACGTTGTCGTTTGTGATTACGTCACTTCTAGGATCCCAGAGGAAGTATCAGGATATACTGGTTTCCTCAAGAGTCTTGACCCTTCTCCGTCCGTTTCGGGGAAAGTCAGATGTCGAACCAGTTTCTCAGACTATGTTTGCTGTCCAGTTTTGTGGCATATTTTTACGGTTAATAATTTGCCGTGACAAAAGCTTTAAGAATTGCCTTTGAACCAGCAAAATAGAACACAGACAAGTCTTAAATATTCAATAATATATTGAACAAACAATGAGCATGCTACAATGAATGACAATGTAGATATCTAGTACAATGCAATTGAGTCACAAATCTAAAATATTGGGTCACAAATATAAGATATTAACTCACTAGAGACTTGACATTCACGGTGAGAACTGATATACTGATTGAAGGTCGTTTACAATGACAGTAGTTGTACAGACAAGCACGGTCTTGAAATGTTGACAGACTGGACGACGGTAGGCAGATGTGTATCAGCTTGATGACGGCAGACAGATGTGTTTAACTCCAGTCATGTGATAAATCCGTGCCGCACAACTCAACAACCAGCCTTTACACAGTTCTCAAGGGTTCTAGCAAAGCTAGGCAGCAGCATTATCCACTCAGAATGTTCACGAAAGCCATCGTAAACACAAGACAGGTAGTCACAACAAATACAAAAGATGGGCCCAAGGGAGGCAACTCTGAAGCGCTAACAAAAAGGCGTACCACTAAAAATACTATTCCCCACACTCAACACTTTAAACATTGTGACCCATAATAACTATCACTTAATCAATGATATTACAAATTACAAAAAAAACACTCTCTCTTGACAATATTGACGGCTTTCTGTCGTTGAACAAAACAATTGTCACCCATGTCGCCTTTCAGGTCCGTAATGACATCATGCTGTGCACAGTTTTCCAAACATCCAGTGCCGGGCTTATCATAAGTGGCCGTTTGTATCTTCCCTCTCTGCACCTTGGTTTATTTACAGAAACACCTACACACGTATCGGGAAACACACTACGAATGTTTGCTAATGGAGCAGACAGACATCGAGTTCAGAAATAGACACACCAAGACACACACTCATTTCAATATGTGTCGATAGTGAGTTTCTCAGATAGATTTATCGTATGTAAGACACATTCAGATGTGTATGTGATTGGTAGACATTTAGCTGACAAATGCGAAATTCCAGAGAATGTCATCTTAATGTGTTTATATTCAATCATTATTTAATCTATTCAGAAATAACATGCATTAGACTACACAGTATGTTCATACGCTTAGAATATCAAGGCATAAGATATATGAGCTGTTATGCTTCAACGAAAATCTTAAGTATCGATCAGTAACACCTGTCACTCAAACATTGTCCTCTATTAATTTGTTGTGCTACATATAAATACCTCGCACCTTGACATATTCAGACATATTGACGCTGCCCAGCAGTCTGACATGATGGGGAAGATACACATACTAGTGTTGCAACTGATACTGATTGCATTAGTGGGTGCAAAGAAAAATGTTTTGTTTCTGGTGTCAGATGATATGAGACCAAACATCAATGCCTATCTGGGTCCAGACATGCCGTCTCCTGTCCATCCCAAAATGCATACACCTACTCTCGATGCCTTAGCCAACAGATCCCTTGTTCTGAAGAGAGCCTACGTGTCTCAAGCTTTATGCAGCCCCAGTAGAACTGCCTTTCTTACCAGCAGGCGGCCTGACACTAGTCATGTATGGGACATTGGATCTTACTTCCGACAGGTTGGTGGTAATTTTACTACACTGCCTGAATACTTCAAGCGTAATGGCTACCGAACTATTGGAATGGGGAAGATCTTTCATCCTGGAAGTTCATCAGGAGAAGATGATCCCATATCGTGGACGGATCCATATTTTCACGCAGAAGACAACTATGGACGGAATGACATGCTTCTCTGTGATGCAATATCAGAGGAAAGAGAGAAGGCCAAACCACTTCAGGATCAGATGATTGCTGACCATGCAATAAAAACACTTCAGGAAGTCGCACCTGGAGCAAAGTCAGGTGAGCAACCTTTCTTTGTAGCAGTAGGTTTCCATAAACCTCATATACCATGGAACTATCCTGCTCGTTTCAATACTTTCTATCCCTTGGAGAGTCTTCGACCAGCACCAAACTATTATGCTCCCGTTGGAATGCCCCATTTTGCCTGGCATAGTTTCGCTAATTTTGGCGGCTATAACGATGTTAAAGCATTTCACTTAAATGATATTGGCCACATAAACTTCACATTTCCTCCAACACTGACCCTTCAACTGAGACAGGCCTACTACAGCTGCATCAGCTATATTGACAACGAGCTAGGGAGAGTTATTCAAGAGCTTGACAACTTAGGACTTTCTAACAATACAATCATATCCTTCTTGGGTGATCATGGGTGGCAGTTAGGGGAACATTCTGAATGGGAGAAGCACAACAACTTTGAAGACGCCACCCATGCTCCCATGATGATACACGTTCCTGGAGTCACTAACAAAGGTGTGGTGACAGAGCACCTGACGGAATTTGTCGATTTGTACCCGACTCTAGTTGAAGCTGCAGAACTTCCTAAACTTGAAACGTGTCCACCGAACTCTCAAAACATCAGTCTGTGCACGGAAGGTACTAGTATGGTCCCACTCATGACAAATCCAACAATGAAAAATTGGAAAACTGCTGCTTTCTCCCAATACCCTCGGGGAGGAAACGGTCTCCTTGGTGATCTCACCATGGGTTACACCATGAGGACAGACCTGTATCGCTACACAGAGTGGATCAACTTCAAAGGCAGACCCATCTATACACCGATGTGGGACCAGGTACAGGCAGCTGAACTCTATGATCATATGAATGACCCAGAAGAGAACTGGAACCGAGCCGATGACCCATCCTACAAAGACATCAGGGCCGAGCTGTCCAGGAAACTGAAGATGGGCTGGAGGGGAGCTGTGCCTGACAAACACGTCTGAAATCGCCAATATCAGTTGTATCTTGTTTTCATGTGATATTTGTGATAAAGATGGTCAGTAGCACTGAATGACTTGTCAATTTGTCTAAGCGTGTGGTGCCCATGTTGTTCGATTCCTGGTTACATTGTGTCTTCGGCCACCTGTGTTTATCTTACGAGGCTACTAAATGGGTGAGGTGGCCAGGTAATGGTTGAGGTGGCCAGGTAATGGATGAGGTGGCCAGGTAATGAATGAGGTGGCCAGGTAATGGATGAAGTGGCCAGGTAATGGATGAGGTGGCCAGGTAATGGATGAGGTGGCCAGGTAATGGATGAGGTGGCCAGGCCAGTGTCCAGTTTGGTAAACGTCTTTGTCATTACAGATAATATTTTAACTCATCCGTCGTCTTTTTAGACTCGATAATTTAATGGTTGTAATCATATGGGTGTTTGGCATCATAAACCTAAAAAATATACAAACATCTGATTTTGATTCTTTCAAATTTAATAATATATCTCCACATCTGTAGACAGTACTTTACAAACGCCATATCATACTCTACGCATGTTCATTCTGGGTAATGAGGTAATGAGGCCAAACTACAATGTGATTAGGGATGAATGTAAGAGTGAGTGAGTGAGTTGAGTTTTACGCCGCTTTTAGCAATATTCCAGGAATATCACGACGGGGGGACACCAGAAATGGGGAATGGAACCAGGCAAACGCTTAAATAACTAGGCTACGCCACCGCCCCTATGAATGTAGGAACAAGACAAGAGTCACAAGACTCAGTCAATCAGCATCATATCAACTATACCTTGGTTCAATGTTCCATATTTTGTAACAATGTATTGCTTTGCTATGACAACACCCACTACAATGCCTTCATCATTGCAAGTGATCATATCAGGCTCCGAGGGTAATTCGGGATCATCATATGCGGATTGTAGGGCTTGTTGCTGATGACTTTATTCACTGGATTGCCTTCACTCTATTATATCGTACTTCTCTAAATGTCCGGTCCTGAAAGGCCACAGGCCTGTAGTACAATACATTTACAGAACAATATTTACACGCACATGTAATACACACGAAGAAACGAAAAAAATCAAGGGTAGCTTACATTGTGTTCTGAGATATATTCTGCTCTAAACAACATGGCATAGTAAGCAAACATGGACAAGTTCTGAAGTGTTGTATGTTTTTTGTTATTCAACAATGCTTACAATTTATAAAGGTTTGGATGGACAAAATAATATTTCTTAATATACAACTTTTCTCAGGGAACTATAAGCAGGGCAAATTAAAAGAAAATGATATTCATCTTCTTTTTGATTAAGATCACATAGCTTGCAAATTCTATTTTCTTTTCGACATTTTTAAATCTTCCACTTTCGATAACTAATTCATGTGAAGAACATCTCAATCTGCTTAACATTTCCGCGTCAAAAGTACATTTAAACATCTTTTAACACAAACATTTACTGGAAAGTGATATCTTTTCAAACCATTCTTGCAAATAAATGTCTTTTAATCTTCTTGTTAGTTCTAAATAATATCAATGTTGCTACGATGTAGTCACAACGAACAACATACTAGTGGTGCTAGTGTTGTGTTGGATAGTACGATATCAGGTTGGATTTGGTTTGGTTTGTTGTTTAACGCCTCACTCAGCAATATTCCTGCTACATGGCGGCGGTCTGTAAATAATCGAGTCTGGGCCAGACAATCCAGTGATAAACAGCATGAGCATCGATCTACACAACCAAATCTGACCACCTGACCAGCCTGACCACCCGATCCCGTTTGTCGCCTCTTCCGACAAGTACGGGTTACTGAAGATCAATTCTAACTGGGTCTTCACTTGTGTTAGAGATCATAGTATAGCAATATATCATGGTTAGGCTTCTGATGACGTTGAGGTTGAGGCTGAGGTTGAGTTGGTGTTTGCGTCAAATCGGCATTATTCCAGCCATTTAGTGACGAGAACAAGTTTGCATTAACAAACATTGTAAGTACATACTCGGAATGAGTCTTATTTCAAAAACATATATTCATTACATTGTCATTTTAAAGCAGAAAATGTCACAGCACCAAATTTAAAGGCAGGCAATTTGTTAGTCACATTTCACAGTTACAATTTATGATACAGATCAACTTCCCTCAGGTAGTTCACTATCAGATGAGCGCTCACGCGGGAGAACAGATCTTTCAGGTTTCTTGCATCATAATGTGTGTCCCTTGCAGACGATAAGTCCACGCATTCGAGCAGATTATGCTTGATGGTGAAAACCTCATCGCAAGAGACACACATGGGGGGTCCATCCCCATCCGTTTTCAGCAGATAGTCATGAGTAAACCGACTGTGGCCAATACGACATCGTCGTAAAATTACCTCATCACGTCTTGACTGACAACCCAAGTAGGTATAACCAATTGTTGGTTTCAATTCATACAGTTTATTTCTTCCTACTTGAGTGTCCCATCGTTTTTGCATGAGGTCCCGAGTATAGCTTTTGATAGTGGGTTTGAAATCACTGTACGGGATCAGCAGTGGAGCAAAGTATACAGAAATCGTTGTGCGTATACATGTGTAGGAAGACAATTATCGTTTTTTGGTTTTTGAAAAGTGTATTAATGTGAACATGATAAATGCAAATTCTCCCTTGTAGTTCTAAGCACACCAATATATAATAGTGAACCCCCCTTGCGTCATGGTGTCGCGTATGGAAGGTGTGTGTTGAGTAACGACCACAGTGGGTGAGTGAGTGAGTGTGGTTTTACGCCGCTTGTACCAATATTCCAGCAATATCACGGCGGGGGACACCGGAAATGGGTTTCACACATTGTGCCCATGTGGGGAATCAAGCCCAGGTCTTCGGAGTGACGAGCGAACGCTTCAACCACTAGGCTACCCCAGCGCCCCGATCAATGGATCTGAATCATAGAACATCTTGCGTTTGAATCCTTCTGACACAACTCAGCAGCGTCACTAATCTGACTGTGTCGGCCACCTGAACCCTCAATCCACAAACACAGCCATTATAGCTTCTAGGATTGAGACATGTTGCGACATGTTTGTCTAGTGGCGTGCCCTTCAAGCTGATGCTTGGATGAATTGATTGAGGAGAGAGGTACTATAAGAGTATGTACCTCAATTGACGCAAATCTGATCTTACACCTGATATTGGATTGAGCTCCATTGGTTGACGTCATAGCAGAGAGAGATTCAATCTGTCATCACAGATACTGACGGCAGCTGGGATGCGGCAGCTTGTTCGGAGAGCCGAGTTGTAGACTGATGAGAATTTAAATCATTAAAATCCACATAACAGAATAGCGTGTAGAATCTAACACATTGTGTCACCATGTGATAATTTGCACGATATAGAAACTAAAATTTGAAGGTTCAAATTAAAGGTTCAAATTACCACCAAAACAGATTCAATCGGTTGGAAGTAAGAACGGTTGAGTGGTGACACCGGGTGTTCTACGAAAAGCACCAGACACTCACGCAGGTTACGATTTAAAGGAGTTCAGGAAAGCTGATTGTACCAGAGTAGCGTTGCGCTTCGCATACGTTGACTGCCTATACCAGTATACTTGTGTTATCAATCTAACAGAAATTTGCCACTACGAGTTATCTCATAGCTACATCAGTGGTATTGTAAAACAAATTTCACATGTTGGTTAACTAGGCAAAAGAAGCAAGCTCCTTTGTTACCGCCAGGAGACGATCACGTGTCATGTTCAGTACAGCCTGTACTCTACAATGTACCAGAATGTATCTGATGTATCTTTAGCTGTGGGACTGAGATGCATATTGTGTCTTTTAGTACATTTGAATATATTGTTCGTGCTGTGAAGTACAGGGTGAGTATGGTTTTACGCCGCTTTTACTGTTATTCCAGCAATATCACAGTGACACAAGAAATGGGTTTTACACAGTGTAACCATGTGGGGAATCGAACCCGTGTTTTCGGCGTGACAAGCAAACGCTTTAACCAGGAGGCTACCACCTTCCCTCTAAAGCACACACGGTGGTAAACATGAGAAAATTAACACGACTGGCAAACTGGAATCAATCCTCAGTGTAAAGATCATGCCTCAGTTTGAAACAGCACAATTGAAACTCACCCATGTCCAGGGACGAATGACAGTGTAAACGGGACGAACCAGTCCCGTGCAGGTGATACACATTCAGCAGTGGTGTGTTTATGTCTAGTTTCAGGACTGACATCATTGTGGCATCCTGTACTTTGTCATGGTTATATGTAATTATATACATACACTATTGACTGAATGACTGAATTTGGTTTTACGCCGCTTTAACAATATTCCAGCAACATCACGGCGGGGAAACCAGAAATGGGCTTCACAAATTGTACCCATGTGGAGATTCGAGCCCGAGTCTTCGGCGTGACGAGCCAACGCTTCAACCACTGGGCTACCCCACCGCCCCACATCCACTAGTGAATTTAAGGTGTATATGGATATTCTTAATACGTCATATGTTCGGTTTGTGTTTATGCAGTATACTTGTATATAATCGTTGCAACTGCAATATGTTTCAATCCCGAATGTATAATACATGGGTCTTTCAAAATGTAATTTCTCTTTCAGTTTAGGACACGTTTATCATTACATGACCAGGCCAGTCATGTCCACTTTCTTGAGGGTCTATTTGGGGTCAACCAGGCAGCCTCTGCCTCTGACGATGTCGGGCATGACACCATGACTTCAGGGCATGATAACACGTCGTCAGGACATGACAACACGCCGTCAGGGGATGATGACACAACATTAGGCATGACATGACGCCATCGGGGAAAGTCAACACGCCATCAGGGCATGACAACACGCCGTCAGGGGATGACAACACGCAATCGGGGCATGACAACACGCCATTAGGGGATGACGACACAACATCAGGGCATGACAACACGCCATCGGGGCATGACAGCACGCCATCAGAATATGACAACACGCCATCGGGGCATGACAGCACGCCCTCAAGGCATAAAACTACGTCATCAGAGCATGACAACACGGCATCGGGGCATGTCAACACGCCATCAAGGCTTGACAACACGCCGTCAGGGGATGACAACACGCAATCTGGGCATGACGACACAACGTCCGGGCATGTCAACACGCCATCAAGGCATGTCAACACACCATCGGGGCATGACAACACACTATCAGGGCATGACAACAAGCCATCGAAACATGACAACACGCCATCGGGGCATGACAACACGCCATCAGAGCATGACAACACGCCATCGGGGCATGACAGCACGCCATCAAGCCATAAAAATACGCCATCTGAACATGACAACACGCCATCAAGGCATGACAACGCGCCATCGGGGATGACAACACGCCATCGGGGCATGTCAACACACCATCAAGGCATGACAACATGCCGTCAGGGGATGACAACACGCCATCGGGGCATGACAACACAGAAGAAACAAATTACCTTTCATTCTGATAATGGGGAAGATTATAACGACAACGTGTTATCCATAATTTCATACTTCTCTTGAACAAGCTCATGATACTGTGATAGCATACAGTATCTACTCCTGAAACACTTACCTCAATCCTGTCTGGAAACACTGTTGAGTATCTTTGTGGCATTTGGGCATCTCGTAAATTTCCTTCATCCTGGCGTTATGCCATAGTTGTACCCATACCCAAACCTGGACGTGATCATACGGATCCCTCTAATTATAGGCCCATTTCCTTGACAAGCCGCGTTTTCAAAACCATGGAACGTATAGTCAATAACAGATTAACGGTACCATTGACCATTTAGTTCGACTGCAGTCATTTGTTAAGAATGTCATTATAAACAAGCAGCATGCAGTGTCCATGTTTTTTCAATTTACAAAAGCGTATGATACGACATGGAAGCACGGTATCTTAAAAGATTTTCATGATTTTGGTTTCCGTTTATATCTCAGATTTTAACTGACAGGCAATTTCAAGTCATTGTCTGACCATTATAATCAGGATCAGGGTGTGCCACAAGGCAGTATTTTCTCTATCACAATATTTAGTATACAAATTAATAGTTTATCAAAAGTCTTAAACGATTCCATAGATGGATCAATCCTTGGGGATGATTTTAATATTCCTTTCGTGGCAAACCATGAATACTAATGAAAGGCAGCTGTATAATTATGTTTACATAAAATCGTTAAAATTATGTTGTTAATAAAATGGATTTAAATTTTCAAATGCAAGAACTAATTGCATCCATTTTTGTCGACAATGTAAATAGCAGCGACACAACCATTTCCACATTCGTTAGAAATCTCTGCTAAAAGCAGACTCGACCGCACAAGTGTGACCATATCATTAGCATATATTTGTTTCAGCAGCATTACAGCAGTGGGATGTTGTTTTAAAAGCAAATCGAGTCTGGACCGGACAATCAAACCACACAAAGACCCAGAATTGTTTTTGTTACATTACGTTATTAACGTTATAATGGAAGCTATGTTCCTGGGTATTATTTTCAATCAAACTTTAAGTCCTCTAATAATATATCTGAAAAATAATTCTGATTACAGCGTCCAGTGAGCAACTAGTCAGATGGATACTAAGCGCAATATAAATGAATTATTAATTATTTAAAAAATAAATATTTAAAAGCAAATCGAGTCTGGGCCAGACAATCAAACCACACAAAGACCCAGAATTGTTTTTTTTGTTAGATTACGCTATTAACATTGTAATGGAAGTTCGTTGGTATTATTTTCGATCTCCATTTAACCTTTCGTCCTCTTATAAAATATTTGAAAAATAAATACCTGTAGGCACTTGATATATTTAATGTTGTTTCTAACTCAAAGTGGGGAAGGGATAAGAAGAAACTCCCCCAACTATATAGAGTGTTGATCCGATTCATGGTGTAAAGGCGATTTTAAAATACTAGATTCTATTCACCACCAAGACTCTGGCTCTGGCTCTGCCTTGGAGCCTTCGGAACTTCACCGAATCAGAGTTTATATTTGGAGGCTGATGAACTGCCCCTCAAACTACGCCGCCTTAAATTATCTTCAGAGCATATTTCTAAATTACACTCTATTAAATCCAATTCTGCATATAAATGTGTTTTTCACGCTCTGTATAACGAACTTCATAAAACAAAGCATCACTTATCCCATTTGGAATACAATCCGCTATTTCTGCAGCTAACATACATTTATTTTCCAGGAATGCCGGTACAGCTGCTAGTGCCAGTTCAGTAGCCAGCTGCTAGTGGCGGTACAGTTGCTATTGCCGGTACAGTTGCTATTGCTGGTACAGCTGCTAGTGCCGGTACAGTTGCTATTGCTGGTACAGCTGCTAGTGCCGGTACAGTTGTTAGTGTCGGTACAGCTGCTAGTGCCGGTACAGCTGCTAGTGGCGGTACAGTTGCTATTCCTGGTACAGCTTCTAGTGGCGGTACAGTTGCTAGTGGCGGTACAGTTGCTATTGCCGGTACAGCTGCTAGTGGCGGTACAGTTGCTAGTGCCGGTACAGCTGGTTGTGCGGTACAGTTGCTATTGCTGGTACAGCTGCTAGTGGCGGTACAGCTGCTAGTGCCGGTACAGCTGCTAGTGGCGGTACAGTTGCTATTGCCGGTACAGCTGCTAGTGGCTGTACAGTTGCTATTGCTGGTACAGCTGCTAGTGGCGGTACAGTTGCTATTGCTGGTACAGCTGCTAGTGCCGGTACAGCTGGTTGTGCGGTACAGCTGTTAGTGGCGGTACAGTTGCTATTGCTGGTACAGCTGCTAGTGCCGGTACAGCTGCTAGTGCCGTTACAGTTGCTAGTGCCACTGTCATTGGATCCAAAACGCTGTCTTCCAGATTACCTATCGACGGCTCATTAATGCCATATTATCAGCTCTAGCATATGTCAATAACCAGTTTAAATATATACACAGTTCAGGTTCTTTGTCGTAACTTCAGGCTATTAAAACATGTCTTATTACCATCCACTTTAATTGTGATTCTTGAATTATATAATGATCTTGCTACTGGCACCATCGTCTTTTGTTGTTTACCCAGTCATGATGGAATCTCTGGTAACACAAGGCCTGACTTTGCTGCTAGGGCAGCACTCAACAAATCTGTGACGCCGTTTCGTTTCTGCTGCCGTACAGTGATTATAAACCCATAATTAGATCTTACATTCGCGATCTAATGCAAAGGAAGTGGGACACCCAAGTAGGTATAAATAGTAATAACCAACCATCGGTTACACCTACTAGTGCAGTCAGTCCAGTTTTGAAGAGATAATCATACGACGATGTCGTATACACTAGTTATACACATGAATACTTATTCAAAGGTGTAGGTCCTTGTGATGAACGAATCACAGTCAAGCATGTCCTGCTTGAACGTTAAGTAAATTAAGCTTACAGAATGTCTTAGTATCTTTGTGATTTTGAACTGTGACTATAGTTAACTACAGCTGAAGGGATGGTGTAAATCCAGCTAGGGTCCATGCAGGTAACAAAACTACAATAAGTCCCCATGGCTGAAATATTGCCGACGTGACTCTAAATTTTAACTCACTCACTCACTATGAAGTAGTTTTCTACGATTGTCAACACATACACAACACATCATATTGGATGCAAGAACAGACACAGCATGAGGATATGTGAACAGGCGTGAGGGTTATTCGGCGTCATCATATTCAGATTGTGGGGCATGTTGCTCACGACTTCACTAACTAGATTGGGTGCTAATGACTGTATACTGTTGCTTTGTCGTTGCTGACTGCAACACTGGCCCTCCTTTCACAAAGCACTAAGGTGATCGTAAGTCACTAAGGTAACCTTGGTGCAATGCTATTTCAAAGAGAAACAATAAAATTGAAACATTCAATCTTAAATGGAATTCGCTCATCCCAATACTCAGCAACTTATTATTATTACATCTCTACAGGAATGTATCTTCGCCTTTTCTGTGCTTGTTGCTACCATATACCCTTGTTATTGACTTTGTAACCATGGGAACAAATAAGATAAATAAAAAAATTAAAAATAAATAAACCCTGGTGCAATGTTAAAGAATGGGAGTTAAGGTTAACCTGAGTAAATGTTGCTTCGTGAAAGGAGTCCCTGAACGGCATCTTATTACTCACGTCACGGTATGGACTTATTCAGAGAAATCAGCACATGCATTAACAAATGATGCATCGGATCACACAAAACATGATCAACGAAAACAAATTACAAAATTACAAATTACGTTGCGTCTTGTGAGATCGAAGTCTACCTGGCTACATTAACATAGGACAGAGTGAGTGAGGGAATGAATGGGTCGGAAGATGTATGAATCAGTATGGTTAAAGATGGTTTTAACTGTGTCACATTTTTGTCAGGTTGTTTCAGCTCTATGTAGTACAGGTGTCTAGATTTAAGCATTTTACTGAGACCGCCGAAGACGGGTATGGAGATGAGTGACCTGGAAACATAACCAGGGAGATATGACCACCATGGTAGGTATATTGGCGTGCCCAGGGGACGCACCTTTCCACATCCAATTTAGGCATATCACATTCAATGTCTATCTATTATCATTTAACAGCCAATAATCAATTAATTTGTAAAGATCCTTTACATCCTTCACAGCTGTGTAGGCCAGCGCCCGTTGCCTCAAAGACAACTTAAGCCGGTGTATGACGTCAACCATTACCGCTATCCACTTTTCATGCAGAGCCGGTTGAAGCTGTAAGTTCTATGATTCTTGTGTCTGAATCGCCTGCCAATATGACCCCATAGGTGTTCCATAGAAGGCTAGTCGAGGAAAAAGGCACTCTCATTACTCGAGCAAATTTGCCAATGATGCCCATGGTTGTGGATTAGGGAGATATTACTGTTTGGATGACTTCCACAGAATGCTATGTAAACGTTGATTCCTACGCAATGTAAGAGTCTCATCACTGTGATCCTGTTCACGAAATGACCTAACGTTGTCGTTTATGATTACGTCACTTCTAGGAACCCAGAGGAAGTATCAGGATATACTGGTTTCCTCAAGAGTCTTGACCCTTCTCCGTCCGCTTCGGGGAAAGTCAGATGTTGAACCAGTTTCTCAGACTATGTTTGCTGTCCATTTTTGTGCTATATTTTTACGGTTAATAATTTGCCGTGACAAAAGCTTTAAGAATTGCCTTTGAACCAGCAAAATAGAACACAGACAAGTCTAAAATATTCAATAAGATATTGAACAAACAATGAGCATGCTACAATGAATGACAATGTAGATATCTAGTACAATGCAATTGAGTCACAAATCTAAAATATTGGGTCACAAATATAAGATATTAACTCACTAGAGACTTGACATTCACGGTGAGAACTGATATACTGATTGAAGGTCGTTTACAATGACAGTAGTTGTACAAACAAGCACGGTCTTGAAATGTTGACAGACTTGACGACGGTAGGCAGATGTGTATCAGCTTGATGACGGCAGACAGGTGTGTTTAACTCCAGTCATATGATAAATCCGTGCCGCACAACTCAACAACCATCCTTTATATAGCTCTTACACAGTTCTCAAGCGTTCTAGCAAAGCTAGGCAGCAGCATTATCCACTCAGAATGTTCGGGAAAGCCATTGTAAACACAAGACAGTAAGTCACAAAAAAATACAAAAGATGACAGACAGACAGACAGAAGTTGCCTCGTGGCCTATAATACAGTCACAAACTTTGGCAGTTTCGTGAAACAGTGGTCATAATTAGCATTCGGATCTTACTTTAAAAACATAATGTAAAAATAGGGCTGTGCAGTATATAACTTGGGGGTTTTTTGGATTGCAAAATTGACTGCAGAGTGAGTGGGCCTTTGTAGACATTTTGTAATTGTTTGAAGTAACTGTCTCTGTACCGCTGATATTTGACACATCGGAAGAATACATGATTCTCAGTTTCTGTTTCCGCGGCATCACAGAATGAACACAAGTAGTTTGTACGTGGGGCATCCTCATTAAGTCTGTACATGTTCACTTTAAAGTTGTTATTCGAAATACGAAACTTGATAAGTGCACGGATCAGAGGTTTATATTTTAGTTCTGTTATGTAGGACTCCATGCAAAGTTCATGCTTAAACTGTGAATAATGACTGAAAAAAGTGGAGCTGTTGATTTCGTTGTGCCAAGTTTGGTAGGCGATATCCTTCAATCGTTGTTTGAAAGTATACATGAATAGCTGAACGTTAGCAACACCCTGGTTTAACCAGACATGAGAAAACCCGTTTCTGAATAATAAGTTTCTAACATTGGATGCCCAGTTTGTTCTGTCCATATCATCAAATGTTTTTAGCATTCAGTAGCACTGTAGTGGATGACGTTGTTCATTCATACTGAGTATCTTGAACCAAAACTTGATTACTCGAATCTGTGTTAATACGTAGATGGGGTGACGTCCAAGCTCCCCAAGTGTGGCTTTGTTTGAAGCACATTTTCCAATTTTCAGAAATCGTTTGAAATACATAGTATGGACCCTCTCGATTACATCAGAATATTTATGTCCCCATATTTCCGAGCCGTATAGTAGTATAGGTGCCACTTTTCGATCAAATATAGTTCTTGCACTTGAAAAGGTTAGTTCTTGATACTTGTTAAAAAATCTGAAGACAGAGAGGCAGGCTTTACTTGCTTGTTGAGCAAGTGTTTCACAAGCTTTTGTCCACACGAGCCTAGATGAAAATATTATGCCGAGATATTTATAGTATGTAACCACCTTAAGAGGATTTTTACAAAAAGTCCACATTTCAGAATGTCTCAGAATTCCTCCATTGCGAAACACTATGATATTTGTTTTGTTAAGATTCAGCTGTAATCCCCATTTGATACAGAATGATTCCAGGATATTAAGCCGGCGCTGTAGACCTATTACACTGGTAGCAAAAAGGACGATGTCATCAGCAAACATTAGCAGTAATAGATCTTGTATATCTTGTTTAACAAAAATTCCATTGTTGCCTGATTGGTAGAGCTCTGTTGCAAATTCATTAATAAAGAGAAGGAAGAGGAGGGGGCTGAGAATACACCCTTGTCTCACTCCACGGGAAGTATCAAAAGTTTCAGTTCTTGAATCAGTATTCACTCTTACACTGGCTTTCACCGATGCGTACATACTTTTAAGCAACATCGTTATCTTTCTGTGACAGCCGCGTTGAATCAAAATATATAGCAGTTAATCTCTGTCCACAAAGTCAAATGCCTTTTTAAAGTCAACGAAACCACAGTAGAAACGACCTTTGGGTTTGCACAAATATTTCGAACACAAAGCCTGAAGAGTAAAAATATGGTGAGTAGTTGAATATTGAGGGCGGAAACCAGCTAGACTTTCGGATAATATTTTGTGTAACTCAACCCATGTCCTTAATCTTTTCTCTATAATTGAAATAAAAAGTTTTCCCATTCAATTTAGTATCCAGATTTAAACAGTGGTATAATAACGCCAATATTCCAGTTTGTAGGAAACAGACCATTGTCCAAAATCTTGTTGAATAGCATCTTCACATATGGAATTAAAATATTACATGATAGTTTGTACAGTTCTGGGGGTATCCCGTCAGTGCCTGGTGATTTATTTGATTTAAGATCATATAGAGATTTTCTAATTTCTTCTTCAGAGATTTCACTGTTTAAATAAATATCTTGGTGCGCTAACCCATCACAGTCCTTACACGAGTGATGTTCGAGGAAGTGTTTTACTTGTTGGTCAAACTCTGAGGCAGTAACTTCTATTTCAGGATTTAACAGATCAGTGAAGTAGGCTTGCCAGTCAGCTGCGGAAATACATGAATCAATGTTTGTTCGGAATGCCTGTTTTACTTTACTCCAGAATTCTTTACAATCCCCACGTGCTGCCACAACGGTGATGCCATCTTCAATTTTTCTGTTGTATCTAATTTTTTAAGTTTACAACATTCTTTGAAGGCATGCTTTGCTTCAATATAATAATTTCTGTTTTTATCACAATTATACTTCCTGAACTTGTGGAGACAACTGTATTTCGCCGTTTTAAGTTGTTGGCACTCATAATCAAACCAGGGAGGTTGTTTAGGAGCTTGACTAGAGTTTGAATTACGTGGTAATACTCGTTTTCCTGTTGCTGCCACGACGTCTGATAATTTGCTAACTGCACGATATATATCCAAGTTTCAGTATTCCAGAAATTCAGATATCAGTACATTTATCTTGTAGTTTGCAACAACGCTAGATAATTGCTCTTTGTCCGTATTGCTGCATTTGTATCTGGGCATCGTGTAGAGTGGCATGTCTGATCCAGACACTGGTGCAGTATCTTTCCTTATGACGTCATTAAATGTACATGCTATAGGCATATGGTCAGATTCTGATCTTGGAATCACAGTCATGTCACTGATTTTAGGAAATATAGTACTTGATAACAGGACGTAGTCCACCACACTGGCTCCTGCTCGCGATATGAATGTAAAGTTACCATGTACATCTCCCAATGACCTCCCATTAACTATGTGGAGGTTGAACACTTTACACAAGTTTAGAAAAATACAAAAGATGGGCCCAAGGGAGGCAACTCTGAAGCGCTAACAAAAAGGCGTACCACTAAAAATACTATTCCCCCACACTCAATACTTTAAACATTGTGACCCATAATAACTATCACTTAATAAATGATATTACAAATAACAAAAAAAACACTCTGTCTTAAAAATATTGACGGCTTTCTGTCGTTGAACAAAACAATTGTCACCCATGTTGCCTTTCAGGTCCGTAATGACATCATGCTGTGCACAGTTTTCAAAACATCAAGTGCCGGGCTTATCATAAGTGACCGTTTGTATCTTACCTCTCTGCACCTTGGTTTATTTACAGAAACACCTACACACGTATCGGGAAACACACTACGAATGTTTGCTAATGGAGCAGGCAGACATCGAGTTCAGAAATAGACACACCAAAACACACACTCATTTCCATATGTGTCGATAGCGAGTTTCTCACAATTGATTTATCGTATGTAAGACACATCGAGATGTGTGCGTGATTGGTAGACATTTAGCTGACAAATGCGAAATTCCAGAGAATGTCATTTTAATGTGTTTATATTCAATCATTATTTAATCTATTCAGAAATAACATGCATTAGACTACACAGTATGTTAATACGCTTAGAATATCAAGGCATAAGATATATGGATGTTATGCTTCAACGAAAATCTTAAGTATCGATCAGTAACACCTGTCACTGAAACATTGTCCACATTTAATTTGTTGTGCTACATATAAATACTTCGCACCATGACATATTCAGACATAATGACGCTGCCCAGCAGTCTGACATGATGGTGAAGATACACATACTAGTGTTACAGGTGATACGGATTGCATTAGTGGGTGCAAAGAAAAATGTTTTGTTTCTGGTGTCAGATGATATGAGACCAAACCTCAATGCCTATCTGGGTCCAGACATGCCGTCTCCTGTCCATCCCCAAATGCATACACCTACTCTCGATGCCTTAGCCAACAAATCCATTGTTCTGAAGAGAGCCTACGTGTCTCAGGCTTTATGCAGCCCCAGTAGAACTGCCATTCTTACAAGCAGGCGGCCTGACACTGGTCATGTATGGGACATTGGATCTTACTTCCGACAGGTTGGTGGTAATTTTACTACACTACCTGAATACTTCAAGCGTAATGGCTACCGAACTATTGGAATGGGGAAGATCTTTCATCCTGGAAGTTCATCAGGAGAAGATGATCCCGTATCGTGGACGGATCCATATTTTCACGCAGAAGACGTTTACAGGGCACACATGATCACCTTTTATGTGATGCAATATCAGAGGAAAGAGAGAAGGCCCAACCACTTCAGGATCAGATGATTGCTGACCATGCGATAAAAACACTTCAGGAAGTCGCACCTAGAGCAAAGTCAGGTGAGCAACCTTTCTTTGTAGCAGTAGGTTTCCGTAAACCTCATATACCATGGAACTATCCTGCTCGTTTCAATACTTTCTATCCCTTGGAGAGTCTTCGCCCACCACCAAACTATTATGCTCCAGTTGGAATGCCCCAGTTTGCCTGGCATAGTTTCGCTAATTTTGGCGGCTATAACGATGTTAAAGCATTTCACTTAAACGATATTGGCCACATAAACTTCACATTTCCTCCAACACTGACCCTTCAACTGAGACAGGCCTACTACAGTTGCATCAGCTATATTGACTACGAGCTGGGGAGAGTTATTCAAGAGCTTGACAACTTAGGACTTTCTAACAATACAATCATATCCTTCTTGGGTGATCATGGGTGGCAGTTAGGGGAACATTCTGAATGGGAGAAGCACAACAACTTTGAAGACGCCACCCATGCTCCCATGATGATACACGTTCCTGGAGTCACTGACAAAGGTGTGGTGACAGAGCACCTGACGGAATTTGTCGATTTGTACCCACTCTAGTTGATGCTGCAGAACTTCCTAAACTTGAAACGTGTCCACCAAACTCTCAAAACATCAGTCTGTGCACGGAAGGTACTAGTATGGTCCCACTCATGACAAATCCAACAATGAAAAACTGGAAAACTGCTGCTTTCTCCCAATACCCTCGAGGAGGAGACGGTCTCCATGGTGATGTCATCATGGGTTACACCATGAGGACAGACAATTATCGCTACACAGAGTGGATCAACTTCAAAGGCAGGCCTATCTATACACCGATGTTGGACCAGGTACAGGCAGCTGAACTCTATGGTCATATGAAAGACCCAGAAGAGAACTGGAACCGAGCCGATGACCCATCACACAAAGAAGTCAGGGCCGAGCTATCCAGGAAACTGAAGATTGGCTGGAGAGGAGCCCTACCTATAAGTCGTGTCCTGAAACGTCAGCCTCACCTGTAACAACAGTCCTTTCAATAAACGAGTCAGTGTTTTTAGCGTGGTCTTAGTTTGAACTGTATGAGCTTTCTATTTTGAAGGATCTTCTGTACTGACAAATATATACTCAGCAAAATTGAAAACTCGACACAGACAATTTCCATATTTTTCTTTTTCTGTTTAATCACATAAGTATTTTAAACAGAAGTATACATTGTCAATGCTTTCATTTCGTGAAATTGTAAGTGCAAACCTTGACATTGGAGGTAAAGATGAAAAACACGAAATACACGTGTGAAAAGTAAATTCATTGGGTCTCTCAGTGCATGTTTGCTTCAACTGAACAGGGACATTGAATGTGACCTGCAAAAACAAATTAAACTGTTCATTTTAATCTTTGTTTGGAAATGCCATGCATTTTAAATCAAGAAATTCTATAGGGAGGCTTGATGTTGGTCAGTCTGGGGTCACTGTTGCAAGAGCCTTTAATTGCTCACAAAAAAACAAATTTTGATCGTATTATGATGTTGCCCAAAGCCCGACGCCGGGAAACGTCACGTGTGACGTCACTCCAGGGAGATTAAACGATACGATGTCGTCATCTTCTGAACAGATTTGTTACTGCAAGCTCCACAAGTAGGGAGATATTTGGTGTCAGAAATCGCTTGCGTGCCATCCAAAGACCCCATAATGGACCAAATTTAACGCCTCTTCATCGTCGCACATAAGGTTCAATCAAAGGCAATGGAATTCGGGTTTCCTGAGCGACGAAACCCGATTCACATTGAGATTTAGGCAGAGCCTGAGTGTACTGCAGGCGATGTGAACGTCACGTCGTCTGTGAAGTACACAGATTTGGTGGCGATAGCATAATGGGACAGGGTTCATTTGGCGCACAGTTGATGTTCCCCCCTTGTTGTTGTTCGAGGCAATTTAAATGCTGCCCAGTACAGTATTCACATTTTGCAACCTGTCCTGTTCCCATTTATGCATGGCCCTGGACTGACGAAATTCTTTCACAGAAATGCCGGTTTTCAAGTTCTGGATTGGCCGTCGTGGCTCCGACCTCAACCCTAAACACATCTGGAACGAGCTGGGTCGACGTGTTCGTCAGCAAGTCAATCCACCACAGACGTTACAAGATCTTCAACGTCAGCTTGTTAAGCAATGGCGACGTTTTCCTAGGGGTGTGTTTACTAACGTTCTAAGATCCATCGGGGGTCATTGTGTGTCTGTAAGAGACGCGAGAGGAGGTCCTAACCCATATTGAAAACCTCAATCTAAATGTTCTTCACGCTGTGAGCTTCATTTTTGAGGATACCTTGACATCATGAACGTTATCATTGTTAAGGAGTTTTGGCGAGACTTGCTTGTCCCCTTGATGTCAAGATGTTCTGTGCACAGCATACGACTAAAATTATTGTCTTAAAACCTAATATTAGAAACTTACTCCCAGAAATCCCGAGTGTAAAGTTTTAAGTTTGGCTCAGTATGCTTGGATAAGTAGAATTGCAAATATAAAAACTTTTGCCTGAAGAAATCGATTTTCCGGATGTAGTAACCAGCTTATCTGTTTAAGTGCACATTCAGAGATATGTCATGTTGCGTCAGTAGCTGTTCTAGTCTTCATCATCAAATCTGATAGAGTTTTCAAATGTTTCTTTACATACGGAACATATGAAACCTATTAACAATGATACCAACGTACACTGACATCAGAGGTATATGTACAAAAACGGCATGTGAATATCTAAGTTGAAAGAAAAAGCTAACCTGAAATCTGAACATGAAATACTTCACCATGAATCCAATAAAACGATGATAGATGATAGCTGGAGCTATATTGTTCCATCATAAAAATAGCCTTGGTAAGCCTAGTGGAAGTACATAAAGTTTGAAGCTTGTACTGATTATGAAAGGTAGTAATGATACTAATGAAATAAAAGTTTGTTCAAGATTTGGAATGGGTTTCAAGGCTCTGCTTGGATATTCCTGTTAGGTTTTTCAACCATGTGACACATATGGCAGGATTTACAAAGTTCAGCCTCATCATGTCACACTGTTGGTCCCGATGTGGACACATGGTAGATAGAACGAGTTCTCAGCAGCCCATTATTGTTCACAAAGTTGATTAAACGGCAAGCAGTGAAGAACAGGAAGACTATCACTCCATGGAGATCTCTTTGTGGAGTAAGGCGCTTTGGGAGATGACAGACAACAATTGTCTTTTTGTTGCAGGGATGAGTCAATAATGACAAGCTGCGGGTGTGTTTGTGAGGTGACGTTTATTTCATCATCATCATATATGGATCAACTATTCAATTGATCAGTCAAAAATCAATTGATCCGTCATTCAATTGATCAGTCATTCAATTGATCAGTCATTCAATTGATCAGTCATTCAAACTGTAATATAAGAAAGAATGCTATACATTAATCTAAACATGCAACAAGTACAGTTACACATAACTAGTTCATAATAAGTTATTCTTATTACCACTGATGTATAAAACACTACATAATGGTTGTAATTTAACATGCAAATGATCAACTTGAAATGATCATAGAGGTGATATTTAAATCACACATAGATAATTGCATACATGATAAAAGATAATATGTACATACCCTGTGGGTGACACTGGGGTGTGCCTTTATACCCACACAAGTATTCTGTGTTAATGCATTCCTAAAACAAATAATAAGTACAATATTTTACTATGCCTACAATTAATAATGTAGAAAGAAACTTCTTGTTCAACATTACATTCAAACTACCAATCAAATCATGCTCTCACACATTCATACATTTAGACACTTCATATTGATAAATTAAAAGGTACATTGGCTACTTGATATAAAATAGTAATATTTACAACACTTTATATTATTTATAACATATTTAATGGATAGTTGAGATTCTATTTAGGTTAATATAAAGTAAATGTCTAACCTGAGCTGTGCTGAGTGGCTTGTTCTGTGCAGAGTTGTTAGCAGTGTGACTAAAAAGTGTGCAAGTGCTATGGAGGAAAGCTGTAGTTACAAAATGTTAATCAAATAGGAAGCTGAGGGCTATTGTATTGAAAGCTAGACTGTTGAGGCCCTAAACAGACCAACTGCTTGGATAAGTAACCCAAGCACATAAACTAATGAACACAAAAAACAACTTGAAGTGATAAATATAAAACTTTATTGCTAAAACTATAAACACAATCTCCTGTTACATTTTTGACAGGTAAAGAGCTAACATTATGAATATTTGATAGCTCTCCTTCACAATTGTAAACATGTTATCACTGAACAGTGTATCTCAGTTTGATTCGCAGCAAGGAGTCACATGGTTGTAAACAATAGGGTTCAGTGTAAACTTACAATTGCTGTTTACATGCATTTGTATTGTAGACATGGCAAGGTTTGTTATCATTTTAAAAGAAAATGAAACTCCCTTTGAAATGTTCATTCCCCTTTCATTGGTAGATTAAAGCGCAAGAATGTGATAAGTATTTCAAATGTTTAGTCATTTTGATAAGGTTGGACTTTGAGGTTGGACCTGAGTCTCACGCTATGCACATCCCAACAGATTACAGGCTGCACAATGATCATGCTAGACGGAAGTATTTGCTTTCACTGAAGACCTATCCACGTGGTATTCAGGAAGTGTGGCCAAAAAAGTAGACAGAGCAAATGAAAACCTAACAGTTAATGACGTTAGATCAATAAATTTTTAGAACGTCTTTGAAGTAAGTAAAGCTTGCATTTAGAATATTAGTTGTATTGGTTCAACCTATTCCATATATCACTATTCTAAATAGTTCTATGGATTTATCAAATTAACGTCATTGTCGAATCCTTTTTCAAAATTATATTCTGGGTTATTCTAGAAATTAAGGGAATGTGAATCTATTGACTTCAAACAAATTAAAAAGCAGATGAAAAATATCAGACATTCTGCAGTGAAGAATACTGATGCTTCCTTTTTCACCCTGAGGAAATATCCGGCATCTTATGGGTGGTGTTTGGTCACAGTATGTTTGGCAGGTGTTGAAGGCGAGAAGACGAATCCCTCAAGAGATCGGCAGTGGGTCACAGTATGTTTGGCAGGTGTTGAAGGCGAGAAGACAAATCACTCCCAGAGATCGGCAGTGGGTCACAGTATGTTTGGCAGGTGTTGAAGGCGAGAAGACAAATCACTCCCAGAGATCGGTAGTGGTCACAAGGTTCTTTAAAAAATTATGGGCCTATACAATTCACTCACTCATTCACTCAGGCCAACGTGGACAAAGAGAACAAAACATCTGTGATGTACCTGGTTATTTTACAGAATCTTTCAGTCGAAGGGCCTATTAAAATACAATTCTGCATAAAAGTAAACATATACAGAGATTATCATAGATATCTTCAACTGATAGCGAAAAAGAACGTTGATTGTATGAGTATTTTAATACTTTGCACATCTGTTATGTAACATTTTCTTGTAGAAAATAGCAAAGTTATTATTTAAAAATTAATATTTTAAGATATAGAAGTGAAGCGGTTAGAGTCTACAACAGGTCATCAGACAAACGAAAAGCTCTGCCGGACATCACTACAGAGAATGCAGAGAAAGTCGAGACTAAGACATCCGTGCATACCAAGTCAATATCTGGTAACTCTCTACCGCGTCAACAGTGTCTATTGTCCCGTTGAAGAAAGTGACAGCCGCCACATAACTTGACTGAGAAAATACCATCCCTCCTATCCCAAGGAAAGTGCCAAAGTGGGAATAATAAGATTTTTGGAAGGAAAGAAGGTACGTCTTGCTGAAGAACAACCAGGACTTCAGCTATTCTTACAGTCACAAAACCCACACATGTTTTATTCCAATCAAAGGTTGCCAAGTCGATAACATGTGCGCCACAGCGCCTGCACCTACCTCGTTATCGGTTAAAGGCCAACTGCAGCCTTCTAACGGCACCCCCTTTTCTCACATCCTTTCCCATCACAAAGAATCATTCAATCGTAGGCACGTTATGATAAGGTTTCAT